CAAATCAGCCAGCCTCCCATCCCTGGCTATGTTGTTTTCTGGTTTACCTGAAGTGAAGGTGCAAATAAATCTATGAATCTTATACTGACAACTCTCTTCCCTGATCACTACAGCTTTATATAAGAGTTTCACATCCAGTAAAATTGAATCTTAATATTCAATGTTTGCAGCAAACCCTGAATTAACTACATACAATGAGCTTGTTGTTTGATGTCTGCCAGGAACGAGCAAACCAGCAAAGGTCGGCTACGTTCTGTGTTCAGGCTAATGGTCAGACTTTGGGTTGGAACTCCCTTTAACTGGGTGTAACGGCCAGTTGCTAAAGCGGGAGCTCACCTGGCTGGCCATCTGATTGGCTAGTCGAGCCTTCTCCAGCTCCATGGTTCTCATGTCATAGTGGAAGGTGGACATAAAGCGTTCGCCATCTTCGCGATACTTCAGCTACAGGTGCACACGGACGACAAGCATTAAGCCAAGGCCAGCACACATTTGCACATGCACACTCTAGACATGTGTTGACAGCGTCTGCTTTGGAACTGGATGCTTTTAATTGAAAAAAAAAATGAACTGCTATCCCTGACTTCAGATCAGCAGTGCCAAAGTTCACTCTATTCTTACGTTGCTGGAGAACCTGAGCTCAAACGCTTAATGAAGAAGGGATAATATTAGTGTGCAAGACTTGCCAAGGAAGATCCAGAATGCAGCACTCATCCTTTAACTGTGAATGTGTTTAAAATTAATATTAGAACAGGTGTGCTGCAGGAGGTAGGAGACAGAAATGATGACTTCTCTTGATCATCATTGCTAAAGGAGTTAAAAATTAGCACAACTTTCTGTCAAAATGTTAAGCATGAGCTCAGTTTTAAACACCAATTCCAAAAAAAAAAGAGTGGAACTAGTAAAAACAAGAAGACTCAAAGCGTGATTTTTTTTTTTAGAGTTCAGTGGGACGGGGGTTGAGATCTGAAGTCAGCCCTGAGATCATATATCAGCATGTTAACTCCCATATCTCTCTAGCGGTTTACAGATGTAGCCGATGAGCTTGCTAGCCTCCTGCTAATATAAGCGCATTGCATGAACTCGTAGACGCAGACAGACTCGGGACAGACGGCGGCAGGTGGCGAGGCAGAGGAGAGGAAGGGATGTGAGGCTGTTTTTCCTGATGTGTAATTTTAGCCCCCTGAAGCATAAAGCGGGCCAGGCGATGGGGGTGTCTCGCCTCTGTCGGAGGAACAGAAATAACCTGAGCCACACTCTCCATTCCAAACCGCTGCCGTCAACCGCGGGGCTCGGAGCAGCAGTCCACCTCTATCCACTCCACTCATAAGGACCTTCATGACCCGACAGCAATACATACATCTGATCTGCTTGGGGGTCAGATTGTTGTGTATGATCACTGCGATGGATTGTGTGGTCCATTTCCAACAACATTTTGGGATTTTAACACACAATTATATCACTAAATAGGAATAATATTGGTATGCTTGTGACAACTTTAATTGAAATGCGAGCAGCAGTGACTGTGGCTAACACCAGCTTCTACAATAAACCCAGCCATACCAAACCGGTGATATATGACCATATCACTCATGGCAGAGACAGTGACTTATGTCGGCCTGTCAACAATGCTCACTGAGTCAACAAGAAGCCTTTTTGTTTTGTGAGTTGTTGCTCTATTTTGGCACATGATGTCATCTTACCTCACTGCTCGCCTTGCTTTGCTTCTTTGCGTTGATGTTGACGGGGGTCTCGTAGACGCTCGTGAACGTGTTGTTCCGTGGATTGTGCCTGAAGGGATGAAATTTTCAAGCACCAATATCTGAATCACAACGGAGCTTTATCAAACAGATGTTTTATTTGTCTGTTGTGATAAAACCCACGGGTGTAATTGGTAATATTAACAATACTATCTGTCATAGCTGATAGGGACGCTGTTAATGGATTCTGTTGCTGTGAAATTATTCTGTTTTGATTTCTGATCAGTTTATGGGATCAATATACCATCTACTTACACTGAGCAGTATGGCCTCTTCTTGTGGCTGACAAAGTTGTTAGCGGTGAGGACCATCTTGCAGACATCACAGTGAAAACAGGCTTTGTGCCAGTTCTGACAAAAAACAAAAAGATTTTAAAGAATCACACGTTTTCATCATCCAAGCTTTGAGGAAACATGAATTAAATGTAGTTTATCATGTGAAGGATACAGATGTTTAAACCTTTAACTGGTAATTTCAGACACATCTAATTATTAAGATGCCCAGAATAACAGCAGCGGGGTCCCTCAAATGGACCCACTGACTCAAATATAGCTTTTATGTGACTGTTAAACTGTACACGTCTTCTTTTCTGTCTAGCGTGTCAGGTTTTTTTCAAAGATGTATTAAAGAAGAGATGCGCTTTTATAACGCAGTAATTACAAAGCAGCAAGTGGTGAAGTATGTTATATCAGTAACATTTAGGTGGGGAAGTATGTTTTCTAATTAGTTTTATATCAAATACATGCTTATTATAGCACATTTACCTTTAGTAAGATAAAATATACAGTTTCTTCACATTTTATTTGGTAGCTTATTGGCAGATGCTACAGTCCAGTGGTGTTAGGACATGAGGATGTGTCTGATGCAGATAAATACTTTGAATATCCTCAATGTTGCAAGATATCAATACTTTTTAAAATCTATTTTTATCATAAATCTCATGTAACTAATGCTGATCGTTACTATAAAACGAATGCCACATAATTCCACCAACAATTTCAAATCCACAGCCAAAGTCTCTGTGTTACCTGGTCGATGCAGTTGATCTTCTCTGCTGGGTAGACCACAAACCCACACCTGGCGCAGGACTGCATGATGAATAATTTCCCCAAAAACCTTCAGAAATAAGTTGTGAACTAGCGTGAACCAAGAGCAAAAGTCAGGTCAGTCAGGCAGACAAGCTTAGCCGAGGAGCTGGCAGTGGCTCCCAGATAGTCGTAACAGTGCTTCTCCGGCGGGGGGTAAACTTAGCTCTGTGACTGTGAAACTCTGAAACGCTCTCTTACTTGACACCACGTCCCAGGATGGACCAGCCCCCTTCCATGGTCCACGTTCGAGGACTGGCTGAGTCCAGCTGTCTGTCTGCTGGAGGAGAGACACACAGAGAATGACAGAGAGTTCGGATGTCACTGCATATGTGTCATGAGCCAGAGTTGGACCACTAGTTCAACTTTGGGCATCTTGCCATGATGATAAGACATAAAAGCAGGTTCACAGTGTAATAGTTTTACTTACTAATATTTAACTTTATCAGCCACGTATACATATTAAGACATACAAAGATTTAGATGCTGTCTTTCAAGAGTTACAAAAGTGCCAAGAACAGATTCAAAGAAAGAAATAAGGACATAAACGAAGAAAATCTATACATACAACCAGTAAAAAATAAAAGAAGCCAAACACAACGTACAACTTCATCTGCTAAAGAGGGAAATTAAGTCATAATATAGTCACAATACGACTACAAAAGTTCTTACGTATAGCTGATACATGTGACCAAACAATGTGCCTTTACTTCTTATGGCTTTCAAATATTTTTTTTTAATGATTTCGAATATGTGACTGAGCACCTGCTTTGTGTTGCA